AGTGTGGAGCCGCCGCAGCACCCACAGCGGCCGCCCCCCGCATAGGCAGAGATCTTTATCTGGCTCTAGGTGCTTCAGGAGTTTCAGGCTTTCTCAGCAGCCGGGCCTCCCCCGCCTCCCCTCCCAGGCCATGCCCCTCCATGCTCTGCACAGGAAGTGGGCTGGCCCTGGGGTTTTAGTCTCTGCCGGCCCACAGCCTGTCTGCTACCTGGGTCGCCGGAGCGGAGCAGGGCTCCAGGGAGATGGCCGAGGCCCCAGCAGCAAGGACGACCGGGGAGAGTGTGCCGCAGCTCCATGTCTCAGCCAGGTGATGCCCGCCTTGCCCTCGCCCTGCCCTGCCTGGTCCTGGGAGGCCGGGGACTCCCTCCTGGCCCTTGCTGACCAGCTGGGGGGCTGGAAGTGAAGGTTATGGGAGGGCTTTGGGCCCTGACTCAGTGTCCCCTGCAGTTTCTACCTGAACATCCACCCTCTAACCTCAGCTTGGACTCCCTCTCTGGGCGGGCTGGGCCCTGGTCCCCAGTGCCAGGCACCTCTCCTTCGCAGCCCACCCCAAGGGAGGCTGGGGCCGTACTGAGAGGGGGACCTCCGGGACCCTTTGTGCTGGACCCCCAACCCAGGGGGGTGGAGAGGGAGGTGGGAGGGCAGGGCTGGGGAGCCACCTCTGGGCTGCTGCGGGGCCTGACCCACCTGGGGGACGTCTTCTGCATCAGTGCTCCTTGGGAGGCTTACGGGATGAGGGAGCAGAGAGGGAGCTCCTGAGAACTGGCTACGACGTGGGAGTGTGCCGGGGAGCCATGGTCAGAGCCCTGGGTTCGAGTCTGCACTTCCCCCTTCAGCTAGGTGACTGGACAGGCCAGCAGCAGCTCCAGGCGTTGGGGCAGGAGGACTCAGCTCTGGGGCTGCCTGGAGCTCACACTCCCTCCTCTCCTGGGGGCTGAGGCCTCCTCCCTTACTGAGTTTGTAGAGCCTCGGGAGTGGAAGGGGGGAGGCTGAGGGGCAGAGCCATCCCCAGGGTCTGGTCACCACCCCCGCCCCTGAACCAGGATCCCGGCCCAGCTGAGATATCCCTGGAGTTGAACAGTAGGGATTAAACACATAATGTGTGTGTACGTGTGTGTGTGCGCGTGTGTAGGCAGGAAGGACGAGGGGAGAGAGAGCCCATCAAGTTTGGAGGTCCTGCCCAGCCCCCTGCACGCCCCGCCTGTGAGCAGAGGCCTCAGATGCAACCGACAAGGCTCACAGCCCAGCTCTGCCCTTTCTGGCCTGGGCGAGCGGCAGACCTGCCTCAGTTTCCTCGCCTGAAAAATGGAGTAGGAGCAGCACCTCCTCCCGGGTTGCCGTGAGGGTTGCGTGCTGTGGTATCTCGGGGTGCCAAGGGCAGTGCTGGGCAGGTGTGAGAGCCGTGTCGGATGTTGTCACCCCACCGTCACCACTACCGCACCGTCGCTGCCACCACCGCCACCCTCCAGCTTGAAATCCGAGGGCTGGGCCGGAGCAGCTCCGAGCTTCGGTTCTGGCACTGACACAGGGGAAGAGGATGAGACTCGCTTTACAGGCTGTGGTGGGGACCTAGTGAGTCAGTGGTGTAGACAGCTTTGAAGTCCTGAAAGGCAGGGCACAGGCATGTGGGTGTGCGTGAGAGCGTGGGGGGAACGTGCCGGGGACTCGGGGTCCTGGGCTCCTCTCCTCACCTAAGCTGGGCCTCTTCACCGCGTGACCTCGAGCAGGTTCCTCGGCTCCTGGGACTCAGCCTGCTCCTTGCAGAATGAGGGCCCAGCGGTGTCTGCTAGGACCCTCCCCGCCCTGGCCCCGGCCCCTTCGTCCCTCCTCCCTGCGCCTCTGCCCCTGCGCGTCTGTGCCCTTCAGCTGCGGGGCGGGGGCAGGGGCTGACTCCCGGGCACCCTTCTCTCCTGCCTTGCTGCCCCTTTGCCGGGACCTGTGGTGTGGCTCGAACCTTCCTTTGCTCTTAGGCCCCTCTGCCCCGACCCACCCTCCTCTTCTTGTTCTGGGACTCTGAGCCAGGTCCCGTCTTGGGTGTGGGGTTGCTCTGATGGCTGGGCCCGACTTTGGCATGATGGCCTCACTAAAGATCAGTCCTGTGAGCCCCTGGCATATAGGGGGTCCAGGAGGGGTTCACAGGAGCCCCCTCATTGGGCTCATCTTTGGGGGTCCCAACCCTGTGTTCTGTGCTGTTGGGGAATCCGAAGAAATAGGCCAGCCCCTGTGAGGATGGTGGGCCAGGCGAGGGCGTGCCCACAAGCCTGCTGGGCTGCTTCCCACGCCAGGGTAAGAACCTGCCTTTCTGGGCCCCAGCTTCCCAGGTCAGGGATGCCCTCGGCCTCCGTCTGGGACCTGAGTCTGGGAAAGTCTAGGCAGGGTAGGGCAGTGTGAGACCAGGCCTTGGGGTGGAGCCCTGGGCTCGAATCCCAGCTCTGCCTCTTACTGCATGTGTGACCTGGGCCAATTAACAACCTGGAGCCTCAGTTTCCTCGCCCACGTGGTGGGGCTGATCAGAGCACCGCCGGGAGCTAAGGGGCAGAGTCGGCGAGCAGGTGTAGCGGAGAAAGTGCTTGGTGCACGCAGCCTGGCATTATCTGAGGTCATCGGTTCGCGCTCTGCGCCCAGCCCGTCATGGGCAGGCGTTTCGGAGCGGTAACAGGAGAGAGCCGTGGCTGAGCCCTGCACAGCCCGCATGGCTCAGCTTCCAGACCTGCCTCCTCTCGATGTGTAACCTCGGGCAGTGGGCTTCACCCCTTTGGACCTCAGTTTCCTCATTAGAAAATGAGGAGTTCACCTGGTGCTCTTATTGATGTGTTTGGCAAGTTTATAACACAGCCTGGCAGGTGGGAACCTCCCCACGGGTGGTTTTTGGTGTGGCTAAGAGGGCGGCAGGCCCTGGGCCTGGCTCCCCGCGGGACCTTGAGTAGCCCTTTCCCATTTGGGGGCTTTAATGTCCCCAACTATAGAACAAGGGGCTTGCTCAGACAGCCTGCCTCTCAGGAGCCATGCAGTCCCCTGGATTGCATTCCTGGGACAAGCCTTGGGAGGGGGCCCAGGGCTGTCTGGGTGAGCGTGCTCGGACAAAGCCACGATGCCTCCGGCCACCCGGGCAGCCTGCTTTCTCTGCAGTCCCGGAGGCCTCTGTCCACATGCCTTCATCCACTGACATTTACTGAGCACCCACTGTGCACCAAGCTCAGCAAGAAGTGGCCATGCTGTGAATGGTCCACGCATTGTCCACCAGCCCCTGTCCCCCTGCCCCCACCCTGCCCCTCACTCCTGACCACAGTCCACTCACCCTCCCAGGGACCATTGGTCACTTTCCTCACTCGCTTCCCAGCCTAGCCCTGGCAGGATGGTGGCAGCCATCCATGCAAGAGTTTCCACTGCGACAGGTCATGGCCAGAGCCTTGCCTTTGCACTGAGCAGGCGTTTCCACGGTGTGGCTAGAAGGTCCCTGAGTGTCCTCGACAGACACTGTGAGTCAGGGTCTCACACGCAGGGTACAGGGGGGAGTCTCACGCTGAGCCCCCATGGGGAGAGAATGGTGTCGCAGATGTGGGAGGTGGCTGACAGCTGGACACACACTCCCGGGTGCAGCTCCCAGCAGGCAGGGGGACTAACGGTGGGCGCTGATCCAAGACGCTGGCCCGGCTCTGAGGTGCGCAGGGAAGCCCGAGTCTCCACTCGAGAAGGCTGGGCTAGGTATTTCATGATTCTTTCTGTCTTCTTTGTCATCTTCTTTTTTTTAATTGCCAGAGAACATGTGTATTTGCCAGAGAAAGACGGAGAGAGGGAGAGACAAAGCACCCCCTCCCTGTGGGCGTGGTCATGCTGCAATTCCTTCTCTGTTCTCCATCCTGTCGGGATTTGAGACGTGCATGCACGCACGTCTGCCTGTTTTGTAAGATGCCGGGGCAAGGACTTGAACTGCGGATGGCTAAGTAGGTATGGCTCTCTTGACCAGCAGGCTCAGAGGCCAATCCATCTTTTTTTTTTTTTTTAATTTTCCTAAGAGATTTTTGCTATAGGGGGTGCATGTGCTCACCAGAGAGACAGAAAGCAAGAAGTCACCCCCAGGAGGGATGGCTGCTCCCCAATCCCTTCTCTATTCTCTCGGGATCTCGGACCCATTGCACTCACATGCACCTGGTGTGAGTTTCAAGCTGCTGGGTCCGGGACTCAAACCGGCTGACCATGTGGGAGTCGGGCGCCTTAACCCCTATGCCATCTGCTGACCCCCTTTTTTCCTTTTCAAGTTTATTTTTATTTTTTCTATAAGAGGGAGAGACCCAGAGAGAGGCACCCATACTAGGGTCCCCACACCACAGTCCTCGGCAGGCCTGGGTCACCGGCACATGTGCCTGGCGTGTACAGGGGGACCTCAGGACAGAAACCTGCCCGCGTCGCTTTGGCATGGCCGTTGGCCAGGGATTTTGTATTTTCTTCTTCCCTGGGCAAGGAAGGACCTTTCATGCCTCGCCTGGGTAGACCAAGCCAGCCCCAGCTCCACGGAGCTTCCAGGCAGGCAGGGAGATACGTGTGTCTAAGGTCCGGGGTGAGGGTTGCCACGGCCCTGTGCCTTGGTCTCCTCTGCAGCAGCAGCACCCCCCTGAGGTGTCAGAGAGTAGAAGCAGCAGGCAGGTGAGGTGTTTAGAGACCACGCCTGCCAGGTGTTAGGTGTCACATGAGATTGCTATCTGACTTCCCCTTTTGGAGCTCAGCATCGCCCTCTTTGCTGGTCTCAGCTCCTCAAAGCAATCTTGGGAACAGCGTAGGGAACACACCTCGGCTATGAACAAGGGTGTGCCCTGAGGTCCCCGCGGCGGCTGACCTGGAGCATGTCCCCAGCGTAGTGAGCTGACCCTGGCAGGGAGGAGGGCCATCCTCCTGCCACCACCAGGCTTTACCGCCGGCCATGGACACGTGGAGGTGTGTGGGGCTGTCCTGCTGAGTGTGGGGAGCCCAGGTGTCCTCTTGCCCCCCCCCCCCCCGGGAGTGCAGAACTCCCTTTCCTTTATGGCACTTGGACTTCTGGAAGGAACGTAAATTCGCCTTGCAGAAACATCCTCTTCCACTCCCAGGGCATCCCGGTGTGGGGGTCAGCTTTGTCCTCGGGGGGTCTTAGGGGCTGGAAGCCAGAGCTCCTGCCCGCGCTGCAGCTTCTGTCTGAACTCGCGTCTTCTGCCTTGGAACAATTTCTGGGACTCCCGGGAGGGGGAGCAGGCAGCGGTGGGGGGCCTTGGAGACTCTCTCTGGCTGGTGCCCTCATTTCTGCCATTTGTTTTTCAATCCACGATTTGTTTTTTTAGAGGTTTTCGCTATAGGGTGCATGTGCTCACCAGAAAGACAGAGAGAGACAGAGAGACAGAAAGCGAGAAATCACCCCCCAGGGGGGATGGCCACGCCGCAATCCCTTCTCCATTCTCCTCTCAGGATCTTGGGCACGCTTGCACACGCGCCTGGTGTGAGTTTAAGCCACCGGGTCCAGGACTCAAACCGCAGTCGACCACATGGGAGTCCAGCGACATAGCCATTATGCCAACTGCTGGTCCCATTCCATGATTTTTTATTTTCTGCTAGACACCAGCTATGTGCCAGGCACTGTTCTGGGAACTGAGGACCTACTAACGCGCAAAGGCGAAGGTCCCTGCCCTCCTGGAGCCTGTAGGACTGTCTGTGTGCACAGGCCTGCGTGTGTAAGTGAAGACAGTGGAACAAATGACCAAATGTAAATCACGCTGAAATCGTAATAATGAAAAACTGTAGCTTGGGCATGGTAGCGAGGATTGCCTTTTCATACTGTCTAATCAGGAGGAGGTGGCATTTGAGCAGAAAAGTGAAGGAAGGCAGTGGGCCCATGTTGGGCAGAGGCCAGTGTTCAGGCCCTGAGGCTGCACTGTCAGACCCCGAGGGGCAGCAAGGGACCGTGTGGGCAATCGCCGTGACCTCCCTTCTCTGCCCCCAGTGCCACCTTCCCCAGTTCCACCCCATGGATATGATGGCGGCCCCTGCTCTGTCCTGGAGTCTGCGCCTTCTCGTCCTCCTGCTGCCCCTGGCCGCCCCTGGGACATCTGCCGCGGTGAACGGTGAGCGTGGGCAGCTGCGTCTGGGCGGCTGGAGACTCCGGGGCGAAGGCCCTACTGCACCCCTTCCGATCCCCTGATTCTTGGCAGCAGGTCCATCTGGAGGCAGGGGACTAGGGACAGGCAATGCCTCGCCCTTCTCTAAGCCACAGGAAGACAGCTTCTTGTCCCCGCCCTACCTTGGCCTGCCCTGGGGGACCTTGCAAGCTCTGGGGCACACGTCCCATCTCTGGAATGGGTCCACAAACCCCTTCTTTGGTCATGAGCGTTGCCTGCTCTGCAGCTGGGGAGTGCCAGGAGCAGAGGAGATCGGGGTCCCCCAAGGGACCCTGCAGTCTGGGTCAGGGGAGGTGGGGTTCCCTGAGGGACCCTGAAGAAAGGAGCAGGGGAGGTGGGAGTCCTCCGAGAGACCCCGCAGCCACTCACCCCACCTCGCCCGGCAGATGCCCCCCAGCTCACATGCTTCTACAACTCGAAAGCCAACATCTCCTGTGTCTGGAGCCAGGACGGAGACCTGCCGGGCACGGCCTGCCACATCCGTGCTCAGTCCAACCAGCGGTGAGTGCCACGCTGACCGCCCTGCGGACCCCAGGGCGGCGCCATCTTATTATCACCCCGTTAGACTCCTGGAGCCCTAGAAGTCTGCCACTAGGAACCTCGACTGCTAAGAGCCATGGCTCTTAGGGCCACGGCGTCTGGGAGCAGGCCTGGAAAGAGGCCATGGGTCAGGGGACTTCGGGAGTCAGAGCTTTAGGCTCCTGGCAGCTGGCAGGGCTCAGCCGCTGTGGAGGGGCGGAAGGTGACCTGGAGAACGTAGCTTGGGGACTGCCATGTCAAGGCTGGACTCCGTTTTGGAGGCAGGGGAGAGGAAGGGGCTCCCCAAGCTGTTGGAGTCATCTGGGATTTTTTGAGAGAGCCCTGGGACAGCTGTAAGGACAGGGCACTGAGGAATGGCCAGGAAGCTGGGGACAGGGAGGGAGTGGAGGAGTCACTGAGATCCAACATCCAGGTGGCAGGTGGGCGAGGGGCGAACCCCAGGTAGGTTGGTGAAAGGGGAGAAGTGGGAGATTGCAGAGAGGAGGCCAGAGTGGAGGTGGATTCCGTGGAGCTAGGCGGGCGTCAGGAAGGGAGGAAGCAGAGGTCAAGGTGGGTTAGAACTCCTGCTTCTCAGGCTCTGAAGGCCAAATGAAGTGTCAGTCTCTGCCCCAAGCCCCATGGAGCTCTGGGGGTGCTGGGAAGGGGGAATGTGTCTTGAAATTCTTCGTGTTTCTGGACCACTCGGCCCCACCAGGCTAGGCTGCACGGGGCAGGAACAGGTGTCATGGGGGAGGGACACCGTGCGGCAGGTGGGGGCGCTGGCACCCCTCACTGGGGTTGGTGCAGAGCCTCTACATCCCAGCCATTGGAGAGCAGAGGCCTGACCAGGCCCCTCAGCCAGCCCTGCGGTGACACCTTTGCATTTAAGGGTGTGCTTTTGCCTTGAAAGGTCCTGGAACAAGACCTGCGAGCTGCTCCCGAGGCAGGCATCTTGGGCCTGCAGCCTGATCCTTGGGTCCCCAGATGTGAGTAGCACCCTGGGGAGAGGGTGGGTGGCAGGGCAGGGGCTGGGACCCAGCAAGCCCGGAGGCCAGGGACTGCAGAGGAGGAGGAGGCAGAAGGCAGGAGGGCAGTGTCCAGGGGTGAGAGCCTGGGCCGGGAGGGGTCTCTCCCTCCTGCTCTGCAGGTGCTTATCAAGCGGGGAGAGCATCGTAATAAAAACCACCACACCGGGCTCTTCCTGAGGTCTAGCTGTGTGCGGCCGCTGGGTGAAGAGTGTCCTTTCTGGAGCTGGACCTTCCAACCCTGCTCCTCCCTACACTGGCCGGGTGATGCCAGGCCACCTCCCTGCCCCAGTAGCCCCTTCTGTAAAGTGGGAGTGATGGGGTGCCTACCTTGCAGAGTTTTCCTACCTGCAGGGAGCATTACCACCCTGCAGAGTTACCGCCCTGAGGGGCTAAAGTGCTTAGAGCACCGTCCAGAGCAGTGTGCCCACACGTCCTAGGTGGACCTTCACTGCTCCATGGATGGGCACTAGTGTTGTCCGCTTCTCGCCAGGGAGCAAACTGAGGCTCAGAGAGGTGTGAGCCCTGCCCAGGGCATAGAGCGGGGAGCCGCAGAGCTCCAGAGGCCCAGTCTGCGCTGTGCCCGTGCACCAGGCTGCCCCTTGGGGGGCGCAGAGCTGTGCTCACAGGGCAGCAGCAGGTTCCAGGGACTCTGGGGCCACGTCTGCTGCACGTGCCTGGCTGCGCACATTCCCAAGGGCAGGAGAAGGTGAAAAGGGGGCTCACAGAGCAGCGTCTGTCCGTCCAGGGAGCTCTGCAGGTGGCCGGGCTTTGGATCCTGGCTCCACATTTTTCTAGCTGTGTGACCTCAGGCAGGTCCCTAAGCCTCTCTGTGCTTAGTTATAGGATGTGAATAGCAACAGTGCCCGTTCTGGCGGGCGACGAGTTACAGGCGAGGACGAGAGGATGCCTAGCGAGTGCTCAGAAGAGGGCTGGCACTGTGTGCTGCTCGTCACAGCCACAGTCACAGGGGCAATAACAGGAGCCCTGTGATGGCAGGGAAACCTGTCTGTAGCAGTCTCGGGCAGGCCAGGGCAGGGGCCTTGGGGTGGAGTCGCTACTGTTTCCCACTGGCCGAGGTTCGGGGAGCCCTGATGATCAGGGTCAAGATTTGCCCGCAGTGGGGCCTGCATGGGTCAGAGGGACTGCCTGGGGTCCTGGACTTTGGGCCCCAGTAGACCCCACTGGGGCATAGACCCTGGGGGGGGCGAGCAGCAGCGCTCCTTCCTCAGGGCTGCAGGGTTGCTGCTTGGACAGCAGGGGGCCCTCAGCTGGCAGCCCTTGGTCAGGCAGGACAGCTACCATCGCCCACAGGGCTGTGGACACAGAGGGCTGGCCTCGACCCTGGGCTCCACTGTTCACCGCTGCATGACCTGGGCAAATCCCTCGCCCACCCTGAACTCTGGCTTCTGGGTTTGAAACATGACCCGGGAGTCAAGAGACAACGTGGCCAGGACTCTCAGGCAACAACTGCTCTCAGTGGATGCTCAGTGCCTGGCTATTTCCTTCCAGAAAGGGCAGGAGTGGGGTGGGCGGAGATGGGGAGGGGCCCTTTGCATTCAAAGCTGTTAAACAGATATGCTTCCAGCTCTGCACCTTCCGGGCGAGGGGGTCACCTGCTCGCATACCTCTCATGACAGGGAACCGCCTTTCTCCCAAGGAACTTGCTTCAGTTTAGATCAGGGTTTGCTGCTTGCACTGCCTGTGGGCCACACCCAGCCTGCTGCCTGTGCTTGTAAATAAAGTTTTATTGGAACACAGCCAGGTTTGTTTCTGGGCTGGGTGTGGGCGTGTCACCGTACAGCCGGAGAGCTCGGTGATGACAGACCTCGTGGCCAGCAAAGCGCAAGCTACTTACTCTCTGGCCTTTGCCAAAAATGTTTGCTGTCCCCTGCCTGAGAGAGTGGGGTGTGTGGAGTTCTCCTGCCCCTCCTGTCACCCTAAGGGCCACCCTCGCCAGTGCCAGCTGCTGGTTACACCCCTCCCTCCTTCCCTCGCAGTCTCAGGGACAGACCTCAGCTGACGTCCTCAACCTGAGCGTCATGTGCCGTGAAGGAGAGCGGTGGAGGGTGGTGGCGACCCAGGACTTCAAGCCCTTTAAGAACCGTGAGTGAGGAACCCAGGATGGGGCTGGGGCGGTGGCGGTGACGGCACCCCCTTCTCTGCCTTCTCCCCAGGATCCTCCCTGCTCTTGTCTCTCTCCCATTGGCTTCCACGCTGTCATCTGACCGCTCACTGCTGGAGCCGACCCAGCCTCTTACCTTGGCCTTCCCTCCTAGCATGCCTCTTTTTCAGCCTGTATTTCTGCTACCAAAGGCCCGCTCTGAGCCCAGCTTGTGCATCCATGCCTCTGAGCTGTTGCATGTGCTGGTCCCACTGCCTGGAAAGCTTTTCCCACCTGGAAAATTCCCATTTATCCTTTAAAAGGCAATGAAGAGTCACCTCCTCCAAGAGGCCTGCCCAGACTTCCCCTTTACAGGGACTTTATGTCCTGAGTTGTGGGTGTTTCCTTCACTAGGCTGGGAACTCCTTAAGGGCAGAGTCTCCACTGTCCTGTGTCACCCAGCACCAGGTCAGATCAGAACGGTACTCTGGGGAAGTTTGTTAAGTGACTAAGTGCCCGCCTCACGCCCTCCTCCCTGAGCTTAGGCACCACATCTAGGGAAAAGCTAGAGGCTGAGATCCAGGCAGGGTGCGAGATGCAGTCCCGCCTTAACTGGGCGTGATCTGACTGGCAGATTGTTTGGCACATCTGAGCCTCAGTTTATTCCTCTATAAACTGGGGATAAGCAGAGTCCCCTGCTGTGCAGGATTGTCACACACAGTCGTTGAGCCGAGATGGAGACCCCTCAGCATCTTGGCAGTGCTCCGTGAACATTCACTTCTTAACCGTGCAGTCCTGCAGTCCCCATGACTTCAGAGTCGTGAAACATTACAGTCACCGCATGCAACTAAGTGAGCCACGTAGGACTCGGATCAGGTCTACGCCTAGAGAAGGGCTGGCCCCGCGCATCTGTCCAGCGGGTGTTGGCTCAAATTCTGGGCGATGTTCCAGGCACTGGGACACAGCTGACAACCAGGCCTGCCCTTGGTGAGCTTAGAGGCTGAGGGGGGAGACAGAAAGTGAGTAAAAATCCCAAGCCAGACATTTCCTAAGACAGGTGGTGAGAAGCCCTAGGAAGAAAAGTAAAATGGGAGCCAGCTAGTGTGGAGGGGTACCAGGGGCTCTCTGCAAGGCAATGCCACATGGGAAGGCTCCCGGTTCGAGTCCAGAGACCTCCCTGAGTAGGCTGGGCATGCGTGTGCACAAGATCCGGGGCAGGCTAAAGGCTGGGGCGGACCAAGGTGTTGGGGCCCTGTTGGGGGTGCTGTCTCCCTCTCTTTCTGTCTCTGTCTCTCTCTCTCTTTTTTTTTTGGAGAGAGAGAGGTTTTTTGCTATAGGGCAAGTGTACTCACAGGAGAGACAGAGAGAGACAGGGACAGAAAGCAAGAAATCACCACCCAGAGGGGAAGCCATGTCTCAATCCCTTCTCCTCCATCCTCCTCTTGAGAGTTTGGGCCCGCATGCACACATGCCCAGTGTGAGTTTTAAGCTGCCGGGTCAAGGGCGCCAACCATGGCCCTGTGGGAATCCGGTGCCTTAACTGCTGTGCCACTTACTGACCTCTCTCTGCCTTTCTCGCTTATGGAAGAAATAATCTTAAAAATAAAGGGGAGGGTATCAGTAGGTAGTGTGGTTAAGTCACTGGACTCCCACGTGGCTGACTGTGATTCAAGTCTTGGACCTGGCAGCTTGCTTTCTCACTTTCCCTCTCTCTGGTGAACATGCATAGCAAAAAAAAACACAAAAAAACCCCACCTAAATAATAATATTGGGGACAGCAGATGGTGTAATGGCTATGTTGCTGGACTCCTACTGTGGTTTGAGTCCTGGACCCAGTGGCTTAAAATTCACGCTGGGCGTGTGTGCGTGCATGCCCAAGATCCTGAGAGAAAAAGGGATTTCAGCATGGCCATACTCCTTGAGGGGGTGATTTCTCACTTTCTGTCTCTGTCTCTGTCTCTGTCTCTCTGTCTCTGTCTCTCTCTCTCTGGTGAGTGCACATACCCTATAGCAAAAACTCTCTTAAAAATTTAATAAATAAAATAAAAAGAAATAATCCTTTAAAAAATAAAGGTTAGGTACCCTGTCAGCAAGGATCAAAAGAAGTTTAAAAAGGAAAAGAGAACAGGTGAGGGAACCAGCAGTTAACGTAATGGCTATGTCGCTGGACTCCCACGTAGTCGACTGCGGTTCAAGTCCCGGACCTGGTGGCTTAAAACTCACGCCGGGTGCGTGTGCGTGCGTGCCCAAGATCCCGAGAGGAGATTGGAGGAGAAGGGATTGTGGTGTGACCATCCCCCCTGGGGGGTGATTTCTCGCTTTCTGTCTCTATGTCTCTCTCTGTCTCTGTCTGTCTGGCGAGCGCACGCGCCCTATAGCAAAAACCTCTCCAAAAAAGAAAAAAAGAAAAAAGAAAACAGGCGAGAGGGATAGAGAGTGGGGGGTGGTCAGGGAAGGCTTCTTGGGATGGGTGATATTTGAGCAGAGACCTGGGGGAGGGAGTGGCCCGAGGATCATGGTGGAGTGGGGTGGGAAGAGCACGCAGGGGGAGGAGCAGCAGGTGCAAGGGTGAAGGCAGAGGACCTCAGCACCACAACCCAGCACGGCCCACCCTTTCTTCCTCTCTTCTGCCTGCAGTTCGCCTGATGGCCCCTGACTCCCTCCGGGTCACCCACATAGGGACCCACCAGTGCAACATCACCTGGAGCACCTCCCAGGTCTCCCACTACATTGAGAGAGAGCTGGAGTTCGAGGCCCGGACACGGTCCCCGGGCCACAGCTGGGAGGTGAGAACACAGCCAGGCCCACCCTGAGGCCCCTTCCCGCCCTGTCCTGTCCTTCCTTTGTCATTGGGTCATAGCAGCCCCAGGCAGACAGCGGGGGGCAGGGGGGTACCCTGCTGCTTCTTCTAGATGCCAGGGGCTTCCTGCTCCCTCCTCGTGCCTCCACTAACCCAAGTGGGCTTGAGAGTTGGGTGAGGGGTGGGAAGGCAGTGGGTCCAGGTGGTGCTGGAGTCCCAGCTGACGCCAGGGGACTTGGCATGGGACTGGGATGAGTGAGGAGGTATGGGCTCTGGGCCCACGACTGGGTAATCAGGGGGCCTCTGGGCAGGATGGGGTGTGCCATGGAGGCAGGGGCAAGGCTGTGCTGACCGCCCTGTCTGCCCCAGGAGGCGACCCTGCTGACACTCAGGCAGAGGCAGCAGTGGATCCACCTGGAGATGCTGGTCCCCGATACGCAGTACGAGCTGCAGGTACGGGTCAGGCCCCAGCGCCACCAGCAGTGGAGCCCCTGGAGCCGGCCCCTGGCCTTCAGGACGCGGCCTGCAGGTACCTCGGGCAGGAGGGGGCGTGTGGGCAGGAGAGGCTGGCTGGGGTGGCTCTAAGCTCTGTGGGACACGCTGCCACAACCCCCTGACCTGGAATGGGGTGCGGTGTTTGGGTCCCTCTGCTCTCATCTGCCACCTGACCTCTCTGGACGTGACCCTGTGGGTCCCACCTCGCAGTGAGGGACGAGACTTGCCTGTGGCCTTGTGAGTCAGGAAAGGGGCCAGAAAGGCCTTCATCCCTGTCTTCACTTTGAAACTTCAAACTCCCAGCTTCTGCCACGGCTGGGGAGGCTGCTTTCTCGTGCACCTCGTCCGTGAAGTGGATGCCGGGGCCCAAGGTGGGGCTGCATGCTGAGGGCCTGCAGTGCCCCCATCAGCCTGGTCCCAGAGGTGCGGGACCAGGGCCCTGCCCAGGGCCGTCTCAGCTTGCCACCCTTCAGTTCAAGCTGAAGCCAGACCTGGAGGGTCTCTATGTGGTGCTCAGAGGAGGGTGCAGGGGGTGCCTGGGCTGCCGAGGGACTCTTGGGATGCCACTGTGTCGTTCCTTCTGGGCATCAGGCCTGGCTTCCCAGAGATGGTGGGCATAAGCAGAACCTGCCTCCAGCCCCAGGCGTGCCTGGCAGGGCCCTGGTAACAGCAGTGGTGGCACTGGGCGGGCAGGGTCCTGCACGGGCCCGGACTGGGTGGGGGCCTCCTCTCACCCCTCTCCCTGCTTCTCCTCACCCCGGCAGTCCCTGGGAAGGAGGCCTGGCCCCTGCCTTGGTTCGTCCCCATCATCGGGGGCCTCAGCGGTACCTTCGGCTTTGTCGTCTTAGTCTACTTGCTGGCCAGCTGCCGGTACATCAGGCCATGGTAAGGACACCTCCCCTTCCTCACAGCCCCCTTTAACACACGTATGCACATACGCGCACACATGCACACGCACACACATGTGTACACACATGCACATGCATACACCACCTTGCCAGGTCATATCCTGGACTGAGCCCCGCATCTGGACACACCTGCACTCCTCGAGAGGCCTCCCCGCCCCACACCGGCCTTTCCCTGTGACCTGCCCTCAGGGGTGGGACCCACCAGAAGCACTGTCCTCAGGACCCGAGGATATGTGCGTGCACGCGCCCGCTGTCTGAGGGCCCTCGAGGGTCTTCCTAGGTCTGGGTGCGAGCTCTTGCTTTTCATTTACCGCGCGCTGGCTCTGTGCTCCAACCACGGAGCTGGGGCACAGCGGGAGCCATGCGCATGTGCACGTGTCCAGCCCCGGGAGCTCACAGCCCAGGGGAGGGGGCAGGGGCTTATGCATCACACGCGTATGTGACGGCCACCATGATTCCGATGGAAGGTCCCGACGTATCAGAGACAGACCGCACGGAGAGGAACCTTGGCTAGGGTGACGGGGATAGCTTTGCTCAGAAAGTGATGGTTTTGCTGAACCCTGAGGGAGGAGCATGCTGGGTGGTGGAAGGGATGGCAGCACCCCGGGGAGAGGAGACGGCGTGTGCAAAGGCCCTGGGTGGGAAGCAGGGAGGCAGGGCCAGGAAGGGTGCAGGGAGGTCGGTGTAGCAGAGACCAGAGGGGGGTGGGGAAGGCTGACCTTGCACGTGGGCAGGCCACGTGGGAATCAGGCTGTGTACTGGGCACCCACGGGAGGGCACCACAGAAGGGCAATGGCATCCACTTTGGTGCTGTATGGAGAGTGGCCGGGTGCAGGGCAGAGCAGGAGGAAACGCTTCTGCCCGAGGGCTGCTGCTCCCTTACGATGCAGGAGGGACGGCACACCAGTTTCCAGCCTGCCTACCTGTGCAGTCCCACCTCGCTGTCCTGGCACTGAGGGGCAAAGTGTCAGAGGTCAGAGGCCATGGATCTATTTCTTTCTTTGGAGAGGTTTTTGCTGTAGGGTGCGTACACTCGCCAGAAAGACAGAGACAGAGAGACAGAAAGACAGAAAGTCAGAAATCACCCCCCAGGGGGGATGGCCACACCACAATCCCTTCTCCATTCTCCTCTCGGAATCTTGGGCATGCACGCACATGCACCTGGTGTGAGTTTAAGCCACCGGGCCCGGGACTCAAACGCAGTTGACTACATGGGAGTCCAGCGACATAGCCATTACACCAACTGCTGGTCTTCACGGATCCTTTTTTAACTGATGTCAGGACAGGTCAGAGACCTCTGCTGACTGGTCCAGGGTTGGGGGCAGTCAGTAAGGAGGAGGGGGCAGAAACACACCTCGCCCGCTCCCGCCTCACCCTGCCCTGTCCCAGTGTGGTGGCTCTGACCATCGCGCTGGTTCCCCATCTCCCTGTCCATTCTCCCACTGTCCCAGTTCTACACAGGCCTTCAAAGGCAACCGCCTCCCTGCCGGACGCCTGGCTCCCAGAGTGCGAGGGACTCAACAGGCGCCATGCTAGCCTCCCGGCTGACCTCCTCAATGTCATTTCTGTCCCCTCCATCTGCCCCAGCCAGGTCACCCTGTTTAACGCTCTGCAGTGGCTGTCCACCATGCCTGGAGTACACCCTCACCGTCCAGGGCCTCCCCTGGCCTCTGGGACCTTGCTGCAAATCCGAGAGCAGCACCCACTCTCCAGGCATGGGCACTCTGCCTGGCAGACAGGATGTGCTGGAATGGCGCTCTCACTCATAGCACCATCCTCTCACAGCCAGATGTCCTAGGCAGTGTGCAGCCTGAGCCACATCCACGGCCACCCTGCCTAGGAGACTCTCTCCTACTGCCCTCCTGCTGTCAGTCTGCCCAGCCGTCTATCCCTGAGCACTCTGGCTGGCCGGCTCCCCCTCACCCCTTCTTCCTCCTGAGCGACCCACTGCTCTCGGCCTCCACAGAACGTAGTGTGTGGTGTCGCGTGCCGGGTCTGTGTCTGCAGCTGCTCTGTGCCCATTCCTGTGTCCCCGGCACCAGCACAGTACCGCCCATAGCGAGCACTCAATACTGGCCGAATAAACAATGAACGGAAATGGGGTCCATGCCCCCTCGGCTGCGGGCTGCCGCAGGGCTCTGTGGACCCCGCCATCCTCATGCCCCTCCCTTTCCCCTGTTCAGGCTGAAGAAGGCTCTGAAATGCCACATCCCAGACCCCTCGGAGTTCTTTTCCCAGCTGAGCTCAGAGCATGGAGGAGATTTCCAGGTAGGGTCTGGAGGTGGAGGGCAGAGACGGGCAGTGACATGCCTCGGGTGGAGGGCGGCAGTGGCTTTGCGCTCAGGGAGAAGAGGTGAAACGCCCCGTGACCAGTCTCCTGGGTGGAGGCAGGGCCCTTTCTAACACTCTCAGGTGATTGGCACCTTCCAGACCACCCTGGTTCTAATCCCGGCCCCGCTACTTCCTGGCTGTGCAACCTTGGGCAAGTTGGAGAACCTCGCTGTGCTTCAGGGGGAGAAAACGAGTGTTAATACGTGCATTGCCCTGAGAACATTGCCTGACGTGCAGGAAGTGCTCCGGGACTAGCTGGACGTCCTGTTGCCTGTCTGCTGACAGGCTGGGCCTTTGGGGTACAGGGTCTTCCCACTCCGCAGCCTATGCAGACCTGCTCTGGGGTATTGCTTCTTTGGCCCTGGCAGGCTCTGACTTGACTTGTCACGGGTACTAACAAGCCCTCTGGTCACTGAGCACAAATGCTGATTTGTTTTTTAAGCGCCAGCCCTATGGCTGCGACACTGAGCTCCATTTGCAGTGTTTGTCTTCCCCTTCCGATCACACCTTCCTGCTTCAGGCACGAAGGCTCAGGAAGCAGGTGGGGTATGGGGGCTGCTGCTGCCACCCAACCCCACTCTCCACTCCCAAACTTGGGGGGCAGGAGGCAGGGGCGGAGGAAGGCGAGGAGTGGGGAGGTGCCAGAAGGCCATATTCCACCAGAGCCGTCCTCAGCGGGCTCTGGAGCTCTCAGACAGGGCTGGTCCAGGGCCCCTTCTGGAATTTTTTGGAAAAGCTCCAAGACAGGACATCTTATCTCAGTACTTTTTTTGAGAGAGAGATTTTTGCTATGGGGCATGTGTGCTCATCAGAGACACAGAGAGAGACAGAGAGAGTGAGAAATCACCCTCCAGAGGGAATGGCCACGCTACAATCCCTTCTCTGTCCTTCTCTCTGGATTTTGAGGCACATGTGCACAAATACCCTGTGTGAGTTTCAAGCCTCCGGGTCCAGGACTCAAACCACAGTTAGCCACATGGGCGTCCGGTGCCTCAACCACTAGCCCCTATATAAGTCCTCTTGGTGGGGAAGTTTCCTTAGCTTAAAATTCCCTAAGCGCTGAAGACAGTGAGCTTCCATCAATGAGATTCAAGCAAGTCTTGGAGAACTGCACACAGGGAACACGGCGGAGGGAGCCCTGCCCTGGGACTGGCTGGGGGCTGGAGTAGATGTGTCCTCACCTCCTCCAGCTCGAACTCCTAATTCTATGGGTCAGGGACATCGGAAGCTGGGGTGAGGTCCTTCCTAGAGAGCCGTGGTCAATCCACCTTCCCACGGGGTCACCAAGACAGGCTGTAGGGCCCTGGCAGGGAGGGAACTGGGGACTGGGGACATTCCCACTATAGTGTGTGAGCAGGGAGCCTGGACCTGGCCCTGCCACCAGCTGCTCTGTGACCAGGGCCAGGGCATGTCCCCTTTCTGGGCACCTGTCAAGTCAACAAAATGTGCCCTCAGGGCCTTTTTCGCCCTGCAATGGTGGGTTGGTTCTCTTCTCTACCGTGTTCCCAGCACCTAGGACAGTGCCAGGCTCAGTGAACAGTCACTCTTGGGCCAACAAACCTCTCCTGGGCACTGCGGGGCTGTGAGTCAGGCACACTCTCTGGGCTGGCAGCTCCCAAGGTGCCCTAAGCCACTTGGTAGGTGGGGAAAGTGAGGGGCATACAGTCAGGGAGGGCTTCCTGGAGGCAGCGGCCCTGGGCCATCACTGAAAGAGAAGCAAGAGTTAGGAGCTTCTGCTGAGTCTGGAGGAGGGCTTGGGAGGTAGAAGGAAGCCCTCACGCACTACCTGCTGATCTTTCTCCCACAGAAGTGGCTGTCCTCACCCTTCCCCTCGTCCTCCTTCACCTCGGGGGCCCTGGCGCCTGAGATCTCTCCGCTGGAAGTGCTAGAAAAGGACGCCAAAGCCGCGCAGCTGCTCCTGCTGCAGCAGGACAGGGCGTGCTTGCCCTCGCCCGACAGCCACTCACTGGCCAGCTGCTTCACCAACCAGGGCTACTTCTTCTTCCACCTCCCAGACGCCCTGGAGATCGAGTCCTGCCAGGTGTACTTCACCTACGACCCCTGTGCAGAGGAGGAGCCTGAGGATGGCGGGCCGGGGGCACCCCCAGGGCCTCCCCCTGCCCCCATACTGCCCCTCTCTGGGGAGGACGCCTACTGCACCTTCCCCCCTGGGGAGGACCTGCTGCTCTTCTCTCCCAGCCTCCCCAGCGGCCTGAATCCCCCCCACACGGCCCTCACAGGCAGCGGTGCCATGCAGGCGGGTGTCCCCGGAGACTGTGCTCTCCAGCCCCCCACCCCAGGACCCCCTGACCTGGAGGATTTCCAGTCACCACTGGAGCTGGCAGTGGGAGAAGTTGGGGAGGAGGTCCCTGCCTTGGGCCCTGGGGAGCCCAGCCCCACTAGGCAGGGCCAGAGTGGGGCTCTCACCTCTCTCCTGGCCCTGAACACTGATGCCTACCTGTCCCTGCAAGAACTCCAGGATCAGGACCCAGCTCACTCGGTGTAGACAGACGGCCAGCAGGGGGAGGCCGATGGCGCCCGGCCTGAGGAGGGCCCGATTGCGGACTGTCCTCAAAGCTAGCCCACTGTTGAGATGTCCCGGCGCCCACCCCAGCCCTGCACACCCATCTCATGTCCTTGCAGACCTCTGTGCTGCTCCCTGAGCCCACCGCTCGGGCCAGGAACCTGGGCTGGGGCGCCTGCCCTCCCTCTAATCATGGGAACACTGTTTCTGGAGCGTGGTTCCTCTCCAGGCCCACAGTGATTCACTGACATCCTCGCGGCTCTGCAGGACCCCCATCCCAACCTCCTCACTGGACGTCCTGTCCTAATGTCCCCTACTCCCACCCACTCCACAGGGCACCAGCGTGTGCTTTGTGGGACACACATAAGGCCGTGCTCCTCCTCTGTTCAAAATCCGGCCATGGCTCCCTACTGCCCTCAGGACGCTCTGGGCGGCACTTGTCCTTCCGGCACCGTCAGGACTTCCCCTCTGGAGCCCTACTGAGCTACTTGGCCATCTGTGAGGCCTTGTCCTCACATCCCTCAGAGGGACACACTGCCTCCCTTAATACGCCAGAACTTGAGATCAGCGCTCTCAGGCCACAGCAGCTGGGGGGTGGCTGTCCTGTCCTCTCTTGGGATCCCTCCTGGCCTCAGAATGCCTGGCTGCTGCATCCTTCACACAGTGGCCCGACTGTGGACACAAGTCCCCCGCAGAGGCGACCCTGCTGGATCTTCTCAGACTCAAAAGGAGGCCGCGGGAAAGTGCCCCTGCATCTGAACAGCACAGAGAGCAGCCGGCTCTTGGGAACCCAAGTCTGGGCCTCTCCCACCTCGCCCTCCGGGGAAGGGTCTCCTGTGTAGCCCAGGGGCCGCACGCTGGCTCCAGAAGGGCAGCCCTCTGTGGGCAGGGCCTCATTGTCTTTTCAGGGCACTTGACCCAGTGCCAAGCGCCCCGTGGTTCTCCTTGGATGTTAAGAAATGATCCCGCACCACTTTGCCTGGGCTTCCCACGCCTGGCGCCTTCACATGGGGACCACCCACTTCACAGGAGCGTCTTCTGGCACCTGAACCTTTCTGGGGTCAAGACTTGGAGAGGCAGAGTCCCAACCAGCTCTCCAGGAAAGGCTCATCTCCCACGCAGCTGACCCCTTCCTTCCTAGTGCTCGCACCTCCACCCTCCACTTCACTTTCCATTGTCTGGACGCTGAGGGGTCCATCAGCGTGCTCACCTGCCCTGCCTGGCAAACTCTGGCCCAGGCAACAGGGGATTGCCTGCACTTATAGGCCCTGCTTACAGCTGATTGGGCATCCGGCAGCAAGTCTGCCCAGAGTCTGACGGGCAGCCTATGAGGTAGCATGGCCCAGAAGCTTTATCCAATCAGAGAGTCCAGGCCTGACCTAGCCAATCAGATTATCTTCCAGTCCAAAGCATGAGCCCGGGGAGGGCAGGCAGCACCTGCGAGCAGGTGCTGGTGGACAGAGAGTGCGGGAGAAGTTAGAGTTAAGCTACTCCATGAGGGGTGGGGGATGCATCAATCTCCTCACACGCTGAGGCCTGCTGCCCAGGGGACCGCTGGGCACCCGCTCAGGGTTCCTGTTTACGTCCAGAATAAATTCCCCTCTCTCAAGGTTGTGTGAGTGCTTAGAGCTTATTACCTGACTGCCTCTCCTCCCATCTGCTGCCATACGGTGCCATGTGTCCGAGGCGGCAAGGACTCCAGTTCCGTCCTGAGCTTCATGTTCACACTTTGCTGTGTGTCCCGGGCAAACTGCGAAACCTCTCTGCAAGTTGGTTTCCTTGTCCCCAAAGCGAAAACAGTGTTTGCCTGCTCCACTATAAAGAGTTCTTGGGAGAGTTACATTTCTCAAGGTTTGGGCATTTGCCCAATAAATACATCTGTGGGTAACGTGTTTATTACTGTTTTCTAAATATTTTGTTTAAAGCAACTTACTTTTAAATACATGTATTTAAAAACTATTGCTTCTGTAAATGGAAAAATTGATTTTCACTGTAAATAAAAGGTAATTGTAAAAATAAGTACAATAAAACAAAAGAATGTTTAAAATCATGATTTGTCTATTAGTTTTTTGTTGTTGTCGTTTGAAGATTTTTACCATAGGCTGTGTTCACTTACCGGAGAGAGGGGGGAAAATGAGAAATCACTCCCCAGGGCGGATGGTCACATCGCAATTCCTTCCGCATTTTCCTCCCAGGATTTTGGGCTCACCCAGGCACCCAGTGTGAGTTTCAAGCCACCAGATCCAGAACTCAAACCGCACTCAGCGATGTGGGAGTCCAGCGCCTTAACCACCGCACCACCTGCCGGCTCCTGCCTCTTATTTTAAAAGGGTAGGTTAGCAAGTGCTGGGAAGTCATTGAAGAAACACCAGCACCAAATGGAAACTTCCTCAAGAGAAAGTAAAAAAAAAAAAATTGTGAAGGGACTATCTTGTTCACTGACAAGAGTCCAATTCACTGTGCTCTGTGTCCAGGTACCGGCTACCGGCAGCCCACGTCCAAACCTCGCAGGCCTGCCCTTGGACAAATATTGCACTTGCTAATAGGTATCACACCTAGCCTATTTATCTATCATCCATCCATATTTTTTTCAGTGCCATGGGGAGACTGGGGGCCAGCAGGTGGCGTGGTGGTTAAAGCACTGGACACTCCCACATGGCCGGCCATGGTTCAAGTCCTGGACCTGGTGGCTTGCTTTGCTTTCTCACTTTCTCTCTCTCTCTCTTCTGTGTGTGTGTGTGTCTCTGGTCAAAATGAAAGAAAAATGAATGAGTAAATAAAATTAAAAATAAATAATTCTTTTTAAAAAATAGTCAGACCAGGTCCTGGCAATTCCTGGCATTGATAGGGCTGCATTCATGCCGTGTTGCTAATCGATTGCGCCTGCGCATGGCAGCCCTTTCTAGTCGCTCACAGCCCTCCTTCCTGGGGAGCCTGCTAAGGCTTTGTATTTGCCACGCTGTGCAATAGGCAGCCCTCCGCTGACCGGAACAGGCACCTGGCCACGTCTCTGCAATCCCTCAGCTTCCTTCCATAAAAGCTCTTATCTTGCCCAACTCTGATATTTCAGGCAGGGAAACCGAGGCTGAGATGATGAAGGTGGGAGAGATGAGAAGGGCCTCAGAGCAGGCAAGCCCAGGGAGCCCAGCTGTCCCCACCGTGTCTGGCGAGAGACCTGAGCTGGCAGTGACTGGAGCCCGGGGCCACCTGACACCAGGTGGAGATGAAGCGATGGGCCAGCAGCCAGTGCACATCATGTCCAGTGAGGACGAGAGGGAGTGGGGACCTCAGGAGAAGGGGCAGGGAGGGAGCAGCTGGAGGGAGGCCGGGATAAAGGAGAGACAGGCCTGCCTGGGTCCGATTGCAGGACAGAGCAGTGGCAGCAGCTGGGGACCAGGCACAGCCTGGGGCCTGGGAACTGGCAGGTGTAGAGTGGGAAGGAGGCAGCTGGGACAGATCTGGGACCAAGAGAAAAGGGAGGAGGGGTGGGGCCTTCCTGGCTCTCGTTTTCGTCTCAGTTGAGTTGGGTTTGCTCCTTCACGCCCCTAAACCCCCATATCTCTGCTCGCCTCCCACTCCAGCTCCCACTCTGAGCAACGTGCAGTGCCCACAATTCCCAAGCACATTGCAGTGGGAACGGATCAGGTCCGGGATGGATAACGCACCACTGTCCTCCTCGTTGGTGACATCCTGACTGAACGGAGGGAAGAAGTCAAGAAGCGGGGGAGGAGGTCCCTGCCGCGGACCCGGATCCATCATGTCGTTGGGAAAGTCCTGACGTATTTTTCTGCTTTTCTATGCAAGAACGTGTCATGACTTTCCCGACGACGCAATATCCTACACACTATGTCGGGCACTTCCTGAGTGTTAGCTCTGGCCGCCTGAAAATGACCCCGAGAGGCAGGTGCTCTGAGCCCCATTTGACAATTGAGAACCCCAGGTCAGGGGAGCTAAGAAATGCAGCTGGCGGGTAATAGAGCCAGGATCCAACTCAGATACACTCGGCTCCAGGGTGTTTGGGCTCTTTGCACCTACAGGCCGCATGGGGGACAGTCACTCCAATGGGGGAAAAGAAACAAACAAACCAGTAAAATTCTATTCTTAGCTTTTGGGCCGTCGATTTCAGAGGAAAAACAAACAAACAAAAAAAACATGGCCCGTGGCTGTGACCGTGGGAGAGAGAGGAGCCCCCCACCGGCTTGGCCAGGCGGAGGGATGAGTGGGGACGAGGGTGTTGGAGGGTGAGGACGGAAGTCTGACTGCTTTTTCCTATTTCTTAACCACCACTTTAAAAAAAAGTCATTATTTATTTAATTTTATTATATTATGATTTTTGAATTGGACCTATTTCTAAAATCCCTTCCAGAGGGCCTAGGGTGAGTCACGCTCACAGACATTAACACCACTTTGGCGCATTTGCTAACAGAAATCGTCCTATATCCTGCCCCGGCATAGCACCCCTGTAATGGGCGAGTCACGCCCACAATCATTAACACCGTCATTTGGATTCATTGCTGACAGGGCTCTTCCAACATCCGTCTTGGGACAGTCTCTTATGACTGTGTATAAGCCCCCTATTCTCTGTTACTAATTCCTTCCCCAAACCTACAAGCCCCACTTCCGTAAGTCCCGCTGTTTTGGGCCAGGCCAATGGAAAGTTCTTCACTAAATTCCCTCACTGTCGAAATCAAACCAAAGGAACCCCTGCACCTGATCGCCCAGAGACAGAGGCGTGTCTCGTGTCCTCTCCGGTCTAGATCCCACCAGTCCGTGCTCAGAATTGAACCCATTCATTATTATTTTTGCAGAGTTGGTCATTTCTGTCCACAAGGGCTTTGCTAGCTGCTCAGGTCCAGATGGTCTTGCCCTCGCCCCCTGCCTCTTCCCTGGCTGACCCTCTCCCTCTGTCACCTCTACCCTCCACACAGGTCCAGTGTCCACTGAGGGCCTCCATCCCTGCCCGGTAACCCTGGACCACAGACCCAGCCCTGCTCAGCCTCTTCCTTGGCCTGCCTGTCCCTGTCACCTGTCCCTCTAACTCCAACATGGCTAAGGTCTTGCCCAAACCACAGCCCTGCCTAAACTTTCTGTGATTCCCTGCTTTCAGGATATGGCTGAGTCCTGACAGTGCCAAGGCTTGGGGGACCTTGGGGAGGTCTGTCATGCTTCAGTGGCCCCATCTATGAATCAGGTGGTCAGACTGGATGGTTGCTGGCAGCTCTTCTAACCCTAATATTCTGTGGTTGCAGGTGCAACACGGAATGTGGCTTAAGGCGGAGACTATGGGATTTCACTTCAAGAGTTGGATGCTGGGTTTGGGGGTGGGGATGAGAGTGGGGACCACAGCTGACGTATTTGCTTTAGCATCTGCTGATCCCTGGGTTTGAGGTAGTCCCGTGGCCCAAGACCGCACCTGAGACTCCTACACACCCCTCCGGTTCCCACTCAAGCACCCTGGGAGACCCTCTAACTTGCCCCAGGTAAAGTTAGTTACTTCTCCTGCCTCTCCCCTCCTGAGCTACATCTCTGAGAATGATCTCTCGCACTATGGGCTGGAACTGCTAGATTCTGACGCAGGAGTGCTGTGCAGTGAGCAGACCCAACACCCATGGCGGTTCTTGTCCTATGCTCACGAAGACTTAGAGCTGCTGACACAGAGAAGAGAGGAAAGCGGAGTTTATAAGGGAAGGAGAAAAGGCTTCTGATGCAATGGAAGGGGCCTAAATGGGTTGCTGAAGAAGAGCTGGAGACGAGAAATTTTATCTAGCAGTCCGAGCAGTGAGCTGGCTTTCTGATAAGGCAGTGGACTTTAGGAAAGAGTTCGGTGGAGGTCTGAGAGATGTACTACTCTACTCTGTGTGTTCTTCGGCTGGCAGACCGTAGGGTCCTGTCCTTCGGGCTAGAATACAGCTACTGAATAGAAGCTTGCCGCTAGCTTCAGTTGTGCGAGTCGCAGTGCAGCCAGCTTTGGGCTGTGGCACTTAGCGGCTGTGACTCCGTCCTGGGTGCTCCGTGTCCCCACCTCCAGTGTGCGAGTAAGGAGGCATACATTCCTGAGAGACCTGTGAGAGTGTATATTGAACATTCACCAGACCATAGAGGGGACACAGAAACTTCACTAGCGAGAGAAACACAGTAACTTTCTTTCAGGGCCCTTACCCTGTCTGGCTGTAAGTGGGTCTAATTCCCATCTCAATTCTGGGACTACAAGGGCGATGATACTCAGCCAGAGACTGGCTGGCACGAGACCTGATTCGGACATGCCAGGCAGGAGAACTCACTGAAGGAGCCCTCCCACTCGGGGAAGGAGGGCGGGACACACAGCTGCGGTCCAGCTAGCTGTGGACAGTTATGGACAATTGTTCTCGGAGGAGAGAGGACTTGTGTGTGTGGGCTAGCAGCCACTGTTTGGCAGTGGGGAGGAGACTGTGGGGACAAGGACCTGAGAGGACCAGTCCTTCAGGGTCTCTTGGAGAGCGGCATTTATTGAACACTTGGACATGCGAGACTCTACTCAGAGCACTTGGTGTTACCAACCCCGCGGTCCTTACAGCAGTGCCAGGGGGAGCTACGAGTCTAACCCGTTTACAGATGCGGCGGAGGCTCAGCGTGGG